ATGCATTTTTAAAATAGTTGAAATTGCTGTAGCTTATTTCATAGTTTGTTCCTTTCCTTCACATTTTGTTCTGACATTTTCTTCCAAATATCAGCATTCCTATTATTGCCATCATCATCAGAAAACACACCCAATGCAGAAAAGTTGATAATTAAGGAACACGTTTGCTATCTGGTTTGAGATGAATCACTAGCTTGGGAGAAAGTTCTTTTATATCAATTTTCTTTTTAGATCAAAGTTCTTTTAGATCACTTTAGTTGCCAGCTGATAGAGGAGGAAATATCTGTTAGAAGTCATTCTGGCTGATAGCAGCCTCTACTCTGTGTCAGCAATCCCCCTTTGGACTGCCTCTTCACCTCTGCTCTATGGTTTCCAGGCTTTGTGGTGCCCTTGGTAATTCTGTTGCCAAGGTTGCCACTGAAGTGAGTTACTTTCTCCAGAGATTTCAGCAACGCCCTGGGAAAATTTCACTGCAAAATCTGCCTTCTTTGTAACTGGAGGCCTGATGTGAGATCCAGGATTTGTTAAGCACTGAGTCTGGTACAAGTAACCTGACCAAGGAGAGACATCTGAGAAACCAAGTTCCATCCCCCCAGGACTGAGTGCAAATGTTTACTGGCTTTACCTGCTCTGTCATCCACCTGGGACCCTGTGTGTTACAAACTTGGATGCTCTGTATTCTAATCTCCTGCCCCCCATCTTTGGAGAATTTCCCTGGCCTACGAAAGGTTACACACTGAACTTCTCTCTGTTGTTTTCTTTGCCTTTTCACATCCTGGCCCTTTTGTATTTTTATATATCTGTGTTTTCTAGTTACAGAAAGGAAAACTGTGTGTCATAAGATGGGGCAATATACAGCCACTAAATCAATGGCATTCTTGGCTTTCTTTCTAAGGTCAAGGGTATAACGCAACATTATAATTCTTTATATAATTAGAGAGTAATAGGACACATATAAAAGTCTTATTTTTTACAAATAGGAATTAATTTATATTAAGGTGATGGGATCAGGTACTTTGGTTTGGGGAGCCTGGAGTTAAAATTCAAAGTTTAAAGTCTGGTTCAGGGTCAGATTATTATTTTAGCCCTTAGGTTAAAACCCACCTCTCCACCTGCTGAGTTAAAAGTCAAATTCAGCCAACAGGGTGGGAGGGATAGGGTTTCAAAGGATGTGTTTACAAAATCTTTCTCCCCAATCTAAATTTCCTGGAACAACTTGTGGTTTCGTGGGGTGATATGACTAATTTCTGGTTATGGGAATGTGGTGGTAGGGACATAATTCTTTCTTGCCCAGACCCTAAAATCCTTTCTCATGTCCATTTGCCTCTTTTGCTTCCTTCCTTCTACCAGCTAGCTGTAGAGGATCCAGCAAGGGAAGGATTCCCAGTCTCTAGTGGTTAACATAAAGCTTTCTCCATTCCGCACGTGCTTTGTGGTAAGGAGGATGGAGCCGCTTAGACTTTGAATGCTTCCTATAAAGGTTAACGGAGTAGACTAACAGAGAAGTTGGCGGAGGAGGTCCTCAATCGATGCTACTAGCTCTTTTTCTTCTGGTTCCCATGAAGCAATGCCTGAATCCTCTCTAGGAGGTTGGCAATGGGAAGAGTTTCTGGGGCTTGTCTAAGGTAAGTCCTTGAACAAGCCAGGAATCGGGTGGGAAGCCCAGTGCATTAGACCAGATGAGGGGGCATAACTGTAACTTTCCCTTCCCTGGCTTCCAACTACTTTCCTGATAGCTTCTATTTCCCATTAAAAGCATCTTCTGCCCCCATTCCCGAGAGAAAGCCTAAGTTGTGGCCACATGGGATAATGGAAGGAGCGTTTCCTTTATTCTGAAATTTCATTCTCAGTGATGAAGAGTCACTGATGTGTTTTAGGTAGCAGAAGGACATTACTAAAATTTTCTATTTAAAAGATCTCCCTAGCTTCTAGTTAATGACTTGGAGTAGAAATGCCAGCTGGGTAGAAGTTATTGTCAGGGTTTCTGTGAGAGTCAGTGGCAGCCTGGACCCGGGGATGAACACAGGAGAGGTCTGGAGAGATGTCAGGCACCCTGAGACAGGTTCTGGCAGGATTTTGTGGGTGCTCTATGAGAATGACGTCTGATGTGGATGGCAGGACAGATGCAAGTGGCACTATCAGAGGTCACAAGGTGGCGTTGGTGCCCAGAACTGACCCATTGTAAAGAGCCATTGTGTGCAACCTTGGTCAGGAGGCCAATCACTGAACTCAGTTTTTCCCAAGTTCTTCCAAGGGAAGAAAGGTTCCTTTTCTAGATTCACAGAGGTGCCAGACAGGCCCTGCAGAGACTTTTGCCATGTTGAGTTTGACCCAAGGAATGCTTTGGAGTGCCAACCAGTCAGCTGACAGATTCTCCTCCCCTGGTGACAGCTGGGAAGAGGGTAAAGGTCGGGTGGGCCTGAGAAAGTGTAGGAAAGCTTTGTATTCCAAATGAACTCTGGAGGAGAAATGGGAAGATAGTTCTACATCAAGATATCTGCTCTCAGGAAGGTGGGCTAGGTTGAGACAGGTGTGTGAAAGTCAGCATGAGGGCACTGAACAAAGCGAGGGGAGTGGGAAGGTGACTGAGTCCCTGCTCAGTAGCAACAAAAAGAGAATCGTCTGTGGACAGAAGGAAAGCCAAGAACAAGCTGAGCTCTGGAAGTCCAGAGAACACTTCCTAAACACTATAACACTATGTAGTTCTTCATCTTTTTCTAGAAATTAAAAAATTTTGAAAACCAATGAGCAACCTAGGCATGTCTGTAAATCCCAACATTTAGGCAGATAGGCAGGAGGATTGCCATGAGTTCAAGATGACCTTGGTTTTGCTTTTTTTTTTTTGAGCTAGTGTCTTTTGTAAAAGTATTTATCTGTTTAATATTTTTTCCTTCAGACAGTGTCTTGCTCTATGTCTTTTTTTTTTAATGTTAGCCTTGATCTTGCAATCCTCCTTCCTCAGTTTTTTGAAGGCTGGAATTGCAAGAGTACACCACCACTTCCAACTTTTGAGTTCTTTGTACTCAGTGTGCCAAACCCTTTAAAAATGTAACAGGCACCTTTCGCTTGCAGGTTTCATAGAAACAGAGCAGGGTGGACTTGGCTTTCAGTGTTTATCTACCCCAAATCTAAGGAGAGAGGGGCTGCATTTGCTGGGTTGCTTTGACTTGGTTTGCTTGCTGTAGAGTTTTTCTGGAGGGAACACTTGCGAGGGAGCAAGCTCAAGCTCATTTTGCTCTCAGACCCGACTGCATCCTTTCCTGGCTTATGTCACGTTAGCATTGAGCTTCATCTGGTTCCATTGGTGTGCGAGCCCTGCACGGAGAAGGTTGCTGTCAGACAGAAGATAATGGATTTAGTGATTCTGTAGGTGTGCAGTCTCTAAAGCCGGGGAAAGAGCGCCATTCTGGGGGGGAGAGAGTCTTAAAAACAGTTCTAATTGTTCAGGTACGTTATTTTAAACCACGCTTAAGTAAATGATCACGTTGTTATTATTTTTGATGGAGTATATTTCGAGAAGCTTTTCTGTTAAGTGTGATTAAATATCATTTGTATTTCACTCACTCAGGCAAAAATTTCCATCACTTTAGGCTTTTTCTTCCCCCTAGGTAATTTAGCATGGGAGATGCTAACTCAGGTATCTTGGCTCCTTACTTCAAGACTTTTGTTGGGACGAAAGAAGACAAATGTTTATTTTTAAAGTTCAAAGTGTAAAAAATGAGGGCGATTAGAAACTTTAATTGCTGTGTAAAACACACACAATATACATAATACATATAAAATATTACATATAAAACCCTCCTGTAAAATCAGTGGCTGAAACAATAGTTATTGTTGCGCAGAAGACTTCTCGGTGTCTGCATGACTTTGTCTGAATGCTCATGCTGTCTGAGGTCTGACAAGCTTCCTCACCTGATTCTCACCAAAAGAACTGGGCCATGAGTCTGGGAGTTCTGAACACCTTTGGATCACCTCGCTTGTGGTGGCTCTAGGTCCCACACTCAGGTCAGCCCGTGAGCTTCTTCTCACGCTTCCATCTTCCAGACACGACTGTACACCATAAGGATTGCAGAATGACTTGGCTGCACCCCTAGTTCTGGTGAAGAGATGGCCAAATTCTCTGAAAAATTTATGACGGATTTATCTTGCCCTCAAACTATCAGACTAAATGTGGCTCTGGGTCTTCACTGAGAGAGCTTGCCATTCAAGTGCCAGCTAGGATCTGACATAACAAAGTCATTTCTTTAAAAGTACAAGACTAAATTTCCTAGGCATGTTCAACCTGGGTTCAAGTAGTCCCCAATCTACTGTCCTCTTCCTCTGAAGTCTCCTGAAACTGCCTAGCAACACACTTGCAGGATTCTTATTGTTGGTGAGTTTCGTTAATGGTGACACATTGCTGCTCAGCACATGAGGCTGAGTTAACCATAGATTTGTGATAGCTTGGGTGTGGAAGAGTGTTCTTCCGTGGGACTCAGCTCTGGTCTTTGTGCATCTCCAGCATGTGTCTGATAAACGTTATTGTTTTAGGCATTTGGAAAACCCAGCGACACGTTCTGTGCTGTGGGGTCATAAAGAGAACCTGTGTCCCAAGTCTGCATCTTTCTCAAGCCTTCCTGTGCCCGGATTCCCTCTTCTGTCACTAGAACCTTAGCTATAGGATTCTTGAGATCGCCACCTCCACACATTCCCCAGAGTCCATAACACATGACAAACTCAAATTTGAAGCTGCGGCGGGGGTGGGAGGGGGGAAGCTGTGGGGAGTCGAAGGAGCAGCGATTGAATTTGGGTTAAGTTAGGTTGTAAATTGCACGTCTTAGGGCTTTCATGTAGAAATGCTCACCCACAAAAGAGATACTTTGGTAATTATCTTCTAGCCAGGGACTGCCAAGAAGTGCTATTATTGGGGCTTGGGCTAGTCCTGGGGACAGCTGTGGGAGGAAGTGGGCGTGGCAATCGCTCTACTTCCTTGTTTGGAGTAAACTTGGGCGTCTGACGGCTGAGGTGTTGACTTCTCCATCTCTTGTGTGCTTTGGGGGAGCTTTCCACTCTGCCAGAGGAAACACACTTAGAAAAAGCACGAACGTCAATCCCCGCCATTCCCTCGGGGTCTCCCAACCTCCCCCAGCCTCCAGAGAGCAAAGCGCGAAGGGGCGCGGCAGCCCGGACCAGCCCACAGCCACACGCAGCCTCGCAGCCTCTCCAGTCCCCTGCCGTCGCAGCTGCAGCCGGTCGGAGATGGGGCAGTGGCGGGGGCGTAGGGGCTGCACAGGGAGCCTTGGTTGTTAGCTCCCAGGTCTAGGTGCGTGCAGCCGCCTTGAGCAGCTCGTAGCCAGCGTGGGTCTGCGGTGACAGTGCAGTGAAGGCTGGGCACCGGCTCGAGCTGGGACCCCGGAGGCACGAGCCATGACGGACGCCAGCCAAAAGAAGGAGGGCTTCAAGAAATGTAGGAGCGCCACTTTCAGCATCGATGGGTACAGCTTCACCATCGGTGAGAACTTTGCACCCGGGCCGTTCTTGGCGTCCTCGCACACCCTCCGGTGGCGGTGGCCAGTTCTAAGCGGGGAGGGGGTGGGCATGGGAATCTGGGTCGGAGGGTGCTGACTGGAGGGAGCCCTAGGGAATCTGACCTGCCTGGGGAAGCCCAGTTCGGGCTGTCCCTGCTACTCCATTGCTCTAGCTAGCATCCTGGAGTCAGTTTTTAATTACACCTCTCTGAATGGCTCATTCCATGCTGAGATCTGGGTGGCAAGGTGTAGGAGAGGATGGATGGAGACAGAGATGGAGATAAAAATGAAGAGGAAGAGGAGTCGGAAAGGACTGAGAAGGAAGTGGGCAGACAGAGACAAAGAGTAACAGACAAGTCAGAAGTTCAAGAACCGAAATGTGAGGACAAAAGACTAACAGGGGGGAGGGAGAGAGCACTAGAGAGTCCTAGAGCAAGGTCCTTTTAGAGTCCTGAGCTCCCAGTGGCGGGCTGCAGGCAGGAAGGGATGATGCCCTTCGTGAGTGGAATGTTTCAGAGAAAAAAAAAAAACCTGGGGTGTCAGGGAGCTGTGTTTTGGGAATTCCAAGTGATTTGTTTTTCTCCTGCTCCAAAATGTTCACCGAGAGGGGAGAGACAGAAGGGGCTGGGAGTGTCCTCAGGTTGCTGACCACCGTCTTCACTCACTGGAGGCCAGCATTTGAAAAGGTCAGGCCTCTAGTCTTACTCCGAGTTTCTGCTGTTTTGAAACAGCTTTTCAAGGCCTGGCATCTTTATCCTCTTGGGAGCTGGGCCCACCTGGGAGATGGAGAGAGCCATGGGTCAGCTTCCTTTAGGAATGTTAGCTTTGGCTCGCAGCAGCTCTGAGGTGGGTACCCAGATGCTCCTCTCAGCTTCTTTTTAAAGCTGTCACTCAAGTGACCATGACCCTCAACCTCATCTTCCCCCAACAACATCTCTGAGAATGAGGGCAGATGCTATTTGCCCTCCTGCTTGGGGTTATAGCAGGAAAGTGTTGACGCCAGGAAGGGACCAGTGATGAGGAACTTGACTCTGGGTCACTTGCGCTCCTCATGATGTGCTCCAGAGTTAGTAGAGCAGACTAAGCAGGTGTTCTTCCCCAGATACACCACATCACACCTGTCCACACTTTCCCGGGTTGTTTCTGCAGCCAGGACTACCGTTCTTCCCCCAAGTGGGCTTAAGGAAGTCATGCCTGTCTTTTGGAAATTCTCTTGTTGCCTCCTTCGCTTTCCATCTCCAGGGAGTGACCCTCCCCTTCCCCAGACCCAGGAGTTCAGCCCTGGAGCTTGCCAGCCTAGAATGGCTGGTAGGAGCCTGTGGGTAGTCCTGGGGCACTGTAAACTCCCAGGTGCTGCTTATTTGCTTTTCGCTCTCTGGCTCTCTAGAGGTGATGATCTGTGCCCAGGGGAGGGTCTTAGAAGTGAATGAAAAGTTTCCAAGGTCAAAATTGTCTCATTTAAAGGTCACGTAAATTTCAGTTTTCTTGACTCCAGTAGAAAAACTTTCCAAAGTAAGTTTTGAATTCTACCAGGTAATTCCCATCCTTATCCTCCATACAGCCATATCTCACTAAGATGTAGGGTCTTAGAATGATCCTCCTCCGCCTATGATCCTTCCATTAAGGGAAGTTCTGCTAGCCTAGCAGAACCCTGTAGCCTGGTGGTCAAAGGGTCCCCAACGTGAGTTGGCCTCTGAAAGATGCGAGCTACAAACTTCACTCATAGTTGCTGGGCTTCCTACTCTTCTCATCCTGTTGTATGTCACTCCCATCAATAAATGTCTATTGAATTTTACTGTATTGCATGATGTAATTTAGCACAGTGTCTGCCACATGGCATAAACTCAATAGGCAGTAATTGTTGCACTTATTCAAGATATTAAACTAATATACGAGTAGTTTATGAAGACAGACAGACTTTAGATCTTCATTCAGGGATTTTACACTTCTGGTTATATGCTGTGTCTGCAGAAACATGTTATAAAGTAAAAATTAGTAAGTGTGAGAAAAACATTTTGGATTTTTAGGTCAATATAAACATTTTAGAAAGTGCAAATATTCAAAAAGGAAAAAAAGAAATTCACCTCTTATATCATTCACTGATAAATGTTAATATTCTTTGTTTATACTTTCCAATACATTTTTTTTACAGAGACACATTTTAACATAGTGTTTGGAAATCTTGTATTTAATAATATCTTATTAGTTTTGCTTCCTGGCCTATGAGAACTATTCCCTTAACCAATCACCTATTGTGAGTTCCTTAGGCTCTCACTTTTCATCCTTATGGGTAATGATAAAAACAAAACCCTTGAGGATATCTAGGGATACTTCCCCTTATTATAAGATCTATTTAAACATGAGTGTCTTCAAGGTGATAGTTACAGTTTGTAATAAATAAACAATCTCATCTGCTGAGTGAGCCTTAACAGTAACGAATCCACTTTGGATTACGAGCACTTTTAAGACCAAGCTTCTCGAAGTGCAATTTCTTATTCAAAGTATGCCCATTTTTAGTTTAGGGATTTTAGAATGTTTTGCTCAACCATGGTCTGGAAAGAGTCACTACTACTTTATGCTCCCATTATTAGTGTATCAAACTCCTTCCATGCTCTCATGAATGCTGGACACTATGGCTTACTTAAAAAGGGTTCTAGTCTGAGAGGTGGAATGTGGCATCTCAATTCAACAAGTTTCACTATTTTGTAAAATTGCTTTCTTGTTTTCCTTGACTGCTTTACCTTGGGAAATTCATCACTTATTAATTTAAAAACCTATTAATTTATGTAGTATATATTAATTTTACACACCATGTTATCATTATATGTTAGTTACTTTGATATACCATATGCTAATCATATAACAACTATAAAGGTGATATGAACTAATATACATTATATTCATAGATATGTTATACATACATGTATGTATTATGTATGTGTGTGTTATTATATATGTTTGAAAGCCTTTCAAGTGAATTTTGTCACCTATGTTGCATGTATTTTTTGCTAGCAAGACCCTTTTCTTTGCAGCATCAATGTATGTCAGTCAGAGTCTGTGCTAAAATCCTACTGACTCACCTTGTGCTTCAGCAGGGTACCCCACCAATATCACATAGCAGCAAATCCTGAGGAGGTTTTTGCATCTCCAGATCACTCTTTCTCTTAGGCATCTGACCTTCTGTCATAGGAACCACTTCTTCCTCTAGTCTATTAGTTTGTAAAAAAAAATTGGGTCAAAGGATTGTGCTAAAGGAGTTTAAGTGGCCCCGAAGACTCAAAAGATTCTTCTGGGAAGGCATATGGGGACAAGGGAATATTGGGGTCAAGGTAGTTGAGAGACAGAGCTGTGACAATGTTGTAAGTACCCCCTCATCCCCAGAAGATCCCTGTCCTTTCTCTGGGGAGGGCATACTTCCCTCCTGGTTCTCACTGGGCCTATGAGAGATGCCCCAGGGGAATGTGGACAGACATAGCATTTTAGAAGTGGAACTGCTTGGAGAGTATATAGTGTCCTGGTTAGATTTTTGTCAACTTGATAGAAGCTAGTCATTGAGAAGAGAGATCCACAATTGAGAAAATGTCATTGGCTACAGGCCAATCTGTAAGGGGCATTTTTCTCATTTTCATTATTGATATGGGAAGTCCACCCCACAGGGGTGGGTGGTGTCACACCTGGGCAGGTGGACCTGGGTGGCATAGGGCAAGCTGAGCAAGCCACAGAAAATAAGCCAGTAATCAATGTTCCTCGAAGGCATTTGCTTCAATTCTGCCTCTAGGTTCTTGCTCTATTTGAATTCATGCCCTGATCGTCTAGTGATAGACTGTTACTCGGAGATATAAGATGAACCACCTCACTTCCCAGTTGTTTTTGGTCATGGTGTTTTATCACAGCACTAGAAAACCTGACTGAGATATTGAAGGGAGGCCAGCAGAGTTAATATTCTGTGGTGAAGGACAGCCCTGAAGAGTTGGGACTGGTCTTAAACACCAGTAACATTACCATGGAGCAAGCTTTGGAGAGTTGGACTCCTAGAGCCCCTAAGTGACCTTGTACTCGGATTGCAGATGTTCTTGGGAACCGATGCCAAAACTGACTGAAAATGGGCTCTGTGTCAACAGAGCAGCTGTGGGTTGTGGACTAGGCTCTCCACTGGTACTTCACTTGGCATACTCCATCACAACGACTCTGCAAGATGATAGGTCATAAGGTCCCAGTTCTACAAAAGGAAATTTCGAGGTGAGGTGATTTTGTAGACATCACATAGGAAGGAAATGGCAAAGTTGAGATGAAACCACCCATGCCTGGCATCTCCCACCAGGCTTACCTCTATATACCATACTGCCTCCCACAGTGGAGGTGGTTTCTGCCTGAGGCTAGCCTGCCATCTTAATGAAGGGGCTTTGTTAGGTCTGCTATACCAACTAAAATTCCAGTAAAACCAGAAAGAGCCAGGGTTTTAGGTAGTATAATCCCATACTCTCTAGAAGAAGATCATGTGAAAGAATGGAGCTTGCTAGTCTGTCTGTCATTAGGTTTCTAGTCCAGTTCCTTTCTCCTGGGTTCTCAGGGTAAGTGGCTTTGCGTTCGCTTCTATGATTTACTCAGGGAATCATGGGAATGGGTGTGGTCAAGAGGGTCTGGACAAGTCGACAAGTGGCATATGTAGAAAGCACTACCAACCTACCTTCCACCTGTAGAACACAACTGGGCCTGTGACTGAAGCCTGTGATGGACGTGATTAACTTTAACTGAAGGCCATGTGCACAAGTCCATGTGTGGTTCGCTTTGGTGCCATTCCTGGGAATGAGCATTTGAATGGGAAATGAATGGGAACGTGTGTGGGGTGGAGTAGGATTATTTGGACATATTTTTCTTGTCTTCTGGAGTTTCAGTATCTTTTGGGGTTGGTGTTAAGTGAATTTATAGATCCTGACTCCTGCAAAGCAAACAGATCCTTCTTCCTGTGGAAGAGCGTTGTCTG